AAACTAGCAGACATATCACTGCAAGAGCAGAAATGAAAAGCTCTCTCCAAACATTAGAACAAAGATCCCTGTTGTATTTACTTGCAAGATTGTTATTTTTTTTTGGATGAGACAGGATCTGAGACTTTCTATGTCAAAGTACTTGTGAAACGAGTTCGTGTTTTGTGTTTCTTTTCATAAAACTTATTTTGGAAGAAAGTCATGTTTTTCCTTACTCTACCTCAGGAAAAATAAAAGGTTGGTTGTTTTATTTCCTGTGGAGAGTGGCGTTGTAAGGGAGAGATTAGTGAAAATCACAGTAATCTTGGAAGAAGTCCCTTTGTGTATCTGGTGTCTATACATGCAGCAAACCAGATGCTGTCAGACATTCCCAATTAGGATTGTGCTGTGGGTGAAATAAGCAATTCTTCTTTCTCACAGATAGCTGTAGCTCCAGTTCATTAATCAGCCATCACTCAGACTCCAGCAAGGAAAGCTGATAGCATCATGGCTAGAGCAGGCAGGCTGCTGCAGTGATAGCAATGCTGACAACACGCTGGGCTGTAGCTTCAACCGTGGGGGCTACCAGCATCAAATCCTGCCATGTCTCAGCACTTTTCCATATCCTAAAGGTGAAATACGCACAATCTCAGATCTGGCTCTAAGCTCTTAAACAAAGGGACCTTTAATGTCTCAACAGGACAGAGCCAGGAGCCCCTCCAACCTATATGAAAGGCTGTCATAATTAAAACCAAACAGAAACTGTCTGAATTCCTTATTAAGGACAGTTACAAGAACAACCTTAACCCCTGAGTAGCCTAGAAAGCTTTTAATGTTTACATATATTGATAGGAGCATATATGCAAAAGCTCTCCTAGTTAGTGCCAGGGGCAACACTCAGAGGTGTTACAGATTGATGTGGGATGCCTCTGAAAAAAAGTGTAAGACTGATACTGATTATAGAAAGTCCATCCTTTATGTTCTTTTAAAAGCAGTGAAATGGGAGTTCGAATTCAAGCATGAGTCTGTTCACACTGAGCCTGGTCTAGCAGGTGGGTGGCTCCATGTGTTTTAGTGCCCTGCTCTGAGGTGCACAAGGCTCAGAGAAAAATGGCAATTAAAAGGGCTGTGATTATAGGCAGGAGTCTCCCCAAGAGAGCTGCGTGTAAAAGTCACAAAAAGGGGTGAAAAGCTGACTTTCCCAGCTCACCCATCGTACGGTGTGCTTGCAAATGACTGAGAAAATAATCTCATAGAAAGACAAAGTTCAAGGTCAGTCTCACGAAACTGCCCACACTGGAGAGCCTGGGGGGATTAGAAATATTTTTACAACCCAAACAGTACCATCCTGAGGGATCCCTTCCATTTCAGGGAATGCACACTGTGAGACAGGTGAGGGCAGAATGGATGAAAAAAGAGGCAATATGATTAGTAAAACATACTTTTCAATATATTTTTGGTGTTCATTTAAGAAAGGAAGATTGAAAATATTTTAATTTTCAGCCTTTGATTTGGATCTCCTTTGGAGGAGTGAGAGAGAAGTACAACTGGTATCTTTCAAGGTTTCTTTCTAGTACCTTTGTTTGCCTTCTTTTGTGAAAAATAAAATAAAATAAAAATAAAAATAAAAACAAACAAAAAATTGAAATCTCCCTATTTGAAAACTAGCTTTTTTGGGCTGCTTTCAGTCATTAACATTGAGAAAAAGCTAGAAATATTTATTTTCATCTTCATATTGAAAAAAATATATTAACATATTTTACAACCTATCATGAGGTGTTATCAGATTTGATGCAGTAACTCATATGCTATTCATGGATAAATATAGATACAAAAAATCAGTCTCCAAAATGAAATTTCCTCCCAAATGGGAATTAAATTTACATCAAACATCATCTTTCTCCATTGCCAAACCACAAATTAATTTGAATATCCTTCTAAGATAATTGCATTTCCAGTATTCTCTTGAGTGTGAAATTTAGTCATCAGGAACAGTCACTGCAAAGAACATTTAGAACAGTTTTTAAACAGGCATGGAGGCTGCTAATAAAAGTACAAAACCTGGTCAGTGACTTTGCTCAAGAAAAACACGATGTATTAATTGAGAATGTTAGGATGACATTAATTCAAGCAAAATCATATTAAAAGTCTTTTCTCTGCTTTTTTAGTACTAGGCACAGTTTAACTTGAAAATGAAGAAATATTGTGTGTATGTATGTGTATATAAGTGCAAATATTCCCAGCCTGCTACATTAAGCGTTTTAGCTATAAAACTTTCATTTAATCTAATATAAATTGACCGGGTGAAACCAGCTGAGCTGCAAGTGGAGAAAATCCCCTTTAGATACAAAACAATATGCTTTCTTTACCCCCCATGCCAGAACTACTCAAGTTCAGACAAACCACCTTCTATAAAAATGGGGTTGATAAGTTGGACGGTGTAAAACAGGATGGAGCATGACTGGAAAAATGACTGCAAGAAAAATGCCAGAGCATCTAGAGAAAATAAAATTCAAGGCAAAGTCAAAATATGGATGTCAACATAGATTATCTCCCAGTAACAAGGTTCAGCGCTGTGGACATGATTTGTCATTGAACCCAGTGACATCTCAGAAATATTTATGGTGTGTGAAGGAGAATTGCACTCAACTAGCAACAAGTCAGTGGAGCATCAGCTTGCAAGGCTTTGGGGCTCTGGGAAGAAAACAGGATTCACTGCCCACGTGCTAGTGCTTTCCAAATGCATTGAGTGTTTGCTTCTGATCTCACTTAGACCAGCACAAAGCTGGTGTTACACAGCTGAAATTAAAAGGTATATACCAGTGTAGCTAGTGGATATCAGCCTACACTCCACGAAATCTCAGCGTTTGTGAACTGCTCCTGCAGGGTCCACAGAAACAAATTCCCAAAAAGCAAGCAGTCAATTAAGCACAAATGTAAATAGTTAGCATGTCCAGCCCCAAATATTTTAAAATCTAGAAACAATATTGAGTCATGCTGTTTAAATCCTAAAGTGCTATTGTGTTAAAAAAAACAGGAGGAGAAGTGTCAAAGTGAACTTCGGATCAAGCATGTTGTCTCCTTATATGTGCTGGGCATAGGAATTTGGCCCAAGTATTGTAATGGTAGTAGAAACCTACTACTACTACTACTTGTAGTAGAAAAACATGCGCCCCATCACTCAGCGCATGATCACTGTGCTGGAAATGCAGGTCACCAGCCAGCTCTGCCATGGACATGCAGTCCGGGAAGAGAAGAAAATCCCAGGATTTGGAGTAGGTGTTAAAAATGCTCTTGCAAAAACAGTGTTGGAAGAGCACAACCTGGAGCGGCCTCCCCTGGCCGGGCCAGCCCCTGGGCCAGGAGCGCATCCCCATGGAAACGCTATCTGGGGGCCACTGGGCCAGGCCGCCTGCTCGGAGACGCACAGTCGCTGATGAGGGTTTCCAGAAAATCCTAATCAGGAAGAGTCGGATTCGCCTCTGACAGAAACCATCAGTCACCCTTTCATGAGTAATCCCCATTATTTTGCTGTTTAAACTGCTGCAGCAATCTTGTTGTAATAAAAGCTTTCTGGGGGAAAATATATGTCTTGGGGTTTTTCTGGATTAGGGATGATATATAGCCATAAATTGCACCCACACAGAGATCACCATTTTATGAAATCAGAGGGGTTTACAAGCAAAGGGGCACTCCTCAGTAAAGTTAGCCTTAACTGGAAGCCATTACTCAGGCAATGCCGTTAACTCGGGAGATCAAGTCGTTATTTCCATCCATTGTGAGCGCTCTGCCCTTGTCCTTCACAAGCCCCCGTGGCAGTGCAGCAAGATGCCTATTGGGGTACCAAATGAAACATGGTTTAGCCATTCAGGCACTGCCGTTACTTGGGTTATTCCTTTCTCCTCCTGCCCTAGGAAATGTTGCGGGGGGGATGTGCTAATGGAGAGGCACTTGCAAGGCATGCCGGCGTGCTGGTCACAAGCACGCTCCGCAGGTTGCTAGGACTCTCACCTAAACAACATTTGCCCCCTGGCAGCTCCCAGACCGCTAAAGCAACAGTGTTGTCAGATGGACTTTGGCACCCACAGCCCCAGAGCCAGCATCAAGTTCGTCTGGGGGGGATGTTTGTGACAAAATGCTGCCACCTCTGGGAGAGAGCTGGAGAAATCTGCACTTGGCCTTCACAGTGCTGTGGAAAGGGCTGATTCCTTTCTTTCCAGGATGGTGTTTGCCACCCCTGCAGACCAGTGAGTCAGCAGTTTGTCTTCCGCTGCTCCTCCTGCTTTCTGGTCATCATGGTTGTGACCTTGCAGGTCCCTGGAAGGGCTGTGCCTGGTGCTTTGCGCTCCTACACAAAGCAAAGCCAAGTCAAAATGGCTGCCAAAAAGGCAGCTCATTTGCTTTTCTCAGGAGTCCTGTGGCATTACATTTCCAGAAGAGGCTACTGTGCTGGAACAGATCCATTTTGGGAGGCCAGACTGAGTGGCCACTCTGAAAAAAAATCAGAAGAATTGATCTGGTGGGTGAAAGCCTTTCAAGCATGTCCTATTTTAACACAATCTACATATTGTGTAGCTCTCAACCCACAAGTGCAGTGCAAAATCACAGGAGGGTCAGGACTTCAGTTGGACTCACAAAACATTTGGGCCAGATGCAGTATGAATTTCTTCATGTGAGAAGCGAGCAATGAGAATCTGGGAGCCAACGGTTGCGTCGGGTCAGGCAGAGCCCATGTCTGTCAGTTTTGCGATTTCACATAGCTGGAATCACCCATTGTGAATGGCTTTGAATTGGAGCCTACCAAAATAAGCAAAACCAGAACATTTCTTAGAAATTATTTTCCTGCTGTGTGGCCATGTGACACACTGGAAGAATTCGCAGTGATGGCCAGTGACATAGGGCAGAGGATTTGGACTTGTCAAAGATTTGTCTAAATCAACAAAGCCTTTAAAGACTGCGGCCTTGGTCAGCCAGTTCTGCCCCTGGCTCTGCATTGTGCGGCTCCACCGCGTCTCTCTGCAATGGGAATCCTGGAGCGCATGGAGAAGTCTGCTCCACCCAAGCACAGGGACAGCTCTGCAAGGGTGAGACCAGAGAAGGAACAGGGTTTTTAAGTTTTGCTGTTGTTACTGATGTTCTGGAAAAGCAGAGAGTACCACACAATGCTGATTGCATTTGGATCTGGTTTTCAGTCGCCAGATTTCACAAATTTCCCAAACTTCCCAGAGGCTCTGCATGCAACAAACACTCCTTCATACTCATGTAGTTTGTTTTCTTTGTGCATCTCTACATCCTGCTAGTGTGGAGGTGACAATTTTGACTGCAGGGGCCTGCAAGTCTTCCCCAAAGATCCCTCTTTGCCTTTGCCATGGGAATGTGATATTTGCAGGAGTGTTGGCTGTGGGTTTTGGAGGTGACAATCTCAGCCTTAGGTCCGGGCCTGGCTAGGAAGATTTTCAAAGCCAGAGTCACGGGTTCAGGAGATCTCAACAGATGCAAGCATCAGCCTGGTTGCTTTCAAAGGGTCACTGAAAATGTAACAGGATGATACCTGTTTTTGAGTTGTCATTCCTGTCAGGTTTACTTTTGCTACACAGCCAGCTTCAGTGCAGCAAGACCTGATACTATGTGTTTTCAAGCACACTGCTGCATTTATAAATACTGATGACAGTAGATTATACCAATGAACAGGTGAGACACTGCAGGGCTATGTGGGGGAAGATGGGAGCTTGGGTTTAATGTCTAACACACCTGGAAATGAGCTTTCTGCTTTCAAACAATGCAGAGCACTGGGGCCACTCCAGGTGTTTCTCAGAGAACCTAAATGTTATTCACAGAACCTTTTCCCTGTCCTTCAGCCTGCAGAAAGCAAGAGGATGGTGACGTAGGTGCCCACCTCCTCTTAAATCTGAGTACTCAGAAATGATACATAGCTGAGATGTTTCCACCTTGCTGATATGGCCCTTGCAATGAGGAATAGCCTGTCCCTGCTCCCCTCTATCTGGCTGTACATCTCCAGGGAGAAATCTTTTCACTGGATTGTGGTACTCATCCACGTCATAAGGACATACCTCTTTTCCAGTTCAACAGACACAAAGGCTCCTTTCAGTACCCCAAGGAACAAGTTCTTCTCTGCAGTGTCCACATGCAGCCACTGTTGAGCAGAGTGGGAAAAATATTCCCATAGCGTGTGGAAGACTGCTCAAAGGGGCCACGGAGATACATTTCATCATGATACATAAATTAAGGAAAGAGTTTAGAGTTCATAAATAGTCTAATTAACCTAAATCCTTTATTTTGCTTTAGCTGTATGAAGCTCTGGATTCTAAGTTAGTTTTTCTTGCCAAACAAAACCTCTCTTGCTACTTCATTACTGACCCAGCTAAGTTAAGTGGTGTCATTTTTATTGAAAAAACATGGTAAAGTGTGTCACAAACTGGGAAGCACTAATGTAATTTGCTACTGCTCTGCTTCAAGCACTAGGAGAGAACACAAACAAGTTTAGCTAAAAAATGAAGACCGCCAAAAGCTATGTTGCTGTTCTGTATTGGCTGGGTTTTGGAGATGAAAGAGGGGGAATACTCTATTTTGAAACAAAAAAAAAGCTTACAAATATAAATCAAAATCTGCCTGCTGTGCAGCATTTAGTATTTTCCTGAATCTGTTGTTGTGCCGGCTCTATCATGGGGCCAATCTTTTCATTTTGTTTATATTTTCCTAATGCAAATTGTGACTTCTACCCTGGGAACATGACAAAGTCTTTCTTCACAAATGCAAAGAAGACAGGAAACTCACAGTTCCCACAAAGCAGCTTTGACTCTTATTATTTGTGATAATTCTGTTAGCAGGATCCCAGACATCAGAATGTGGATCAGTGAGACTAATATGCTGTGAGGCCTCCCATCCACCCATGGAAGGAGACTCATCTGAATAGGGTCCAGGCTGTCATTTATCATCCCAGGCCAAGCTCTGCAGCTATTAGTTGGTCAGTATGAGTTTCTCAGCTCTTAGATATTATCCCCTGCCTCCGCCTTTGTCCAACAACTTGAAGCTCCAAACAGAGCTCCTGAACATTTGTTTTAGTCAATCCCAAGAGAAGCATCAGTCCATGCAACCAACTGCTTAGACTCTAATCCCCGCTGTGCCTGCAATGTGCTGCGGACACCCCCGAGTTGGCCCCTAACTGTCCTAGATACTAGCAACACTTTAGCCAGTGGCAAGAACCTCCACAGAGCAAACAACTTGAGTATTTATCCAGCTTCTTGGGTGGGTTTTTTTGTCCAGCATAGAGCTTTGTGCTCTCACAGCCACACTTCTTCCAAGCCCTAAGCAATCTGATTTCAAGTGCATTGAAATTTATCTGCTTCATATAGCAGTCACGGCAGCAACTGCATCTTGACCAAGCCCTAGGCACTTCCAAAGGCCATGTTTCTTTGAGATGCTACCACACTCCTTTGTCCTTTTTCTCAAAGGGGTTGGGGCAGAGGGCCCATGACGGATTGCTCTTTCATTCCCCCAGAGGTTCATAACTATATGCTCTATGAGGATGTATTAACTTCCTGCTCCTGATGTCTTGTCATCAGGCTATATTGCAAAACAGCCAGGCCAAGCTGTGCTGTGGCAGGCCACATGATGTTGAAGAAAGAACATTCAGATAAGATATGCTGTTGTAATGAACATATAGTATGTGGTGATCTGAGGCCCCTTTTACCAAGGAAAGAAAAACAGATTCAAGGCAAAGTAATTGGGGCTGTATATAACTGTGATATGGGGTTTGCTCAATGGCTCGATTTCTCAATTTTTCTTCTGGTACAAGACTATGTGCTGTCACAAAACTGGTCAGAATTAATTTAACTCTGACCACCTACTTCCTGCTGCTGAGAGAGATTCACAGGCAACAGCTTTACCAAGTGGGTCAAGAAAAATCAGAAGGAAAGATCTTTTCTTTAGGATAAATTCCTCTCAAACCAGACAGACCAGGTACATGGTAAATGTACAGATTTCAATTACAAGTTGCAATAAGTTAATGAGTCCATTATCTGCCTGTACCATGGTTTATTACTTAACAGGAACTCAGATCTTAGTCCTTGCCTTCATTTCCTAGTATCACTATGGGTGAACATGTGTAAATTGCTCCAGCAGCACAGAAAGCCATGGAGGGCTTTTTTAAAGCCTGTTCATTAGACACAGGAAATAGAGAGGTTGGTGGAATGGGACCCAATTAATTATGTCTATAGTACATGGAAGAAATAAAATGAAAATGTGAATTCCAGAAATGAACAATAAAATGAACCTTTGTTCAGGATTAGAAATAGGCAGTTGGGACCTAATTATACAATGCAGTTTCTGACTAAGCAGATCCTGCAGGAAATGTTGTGCAAAAATAAAGCTGCTACATAGAAAGTAATATATGAGTTAGAACACAAAGGGCTTAGATTTCTTACAAAAAGGTATTTATAGACTAAGCCCAAAGCTGGCTGTCATTCAAAGCCTTCCCATTGAAGTGAAAATAATAATAGGTTGATAACATGAAATATTATTAAACAGATAACACCAGTAGGGCTGGAAACAAGGAAATGTCACTGGCCTCTTCTCCTGGAGGATGATTCTGGTGTATGCTTAGGGACAGCAGCAGGCAGGTTTCCTAGGAGGAGCTGCAGCCCCCTGCTTGCCGCTCCACGCTTGAGGGTTTGTGCTGCCTTGGGCAGCAGAGGGTGAAGTAGTCTGAACCTTGCTGAGCTCCTCGCTGTGAGACATAGCATCTCCCATCCAGCTGGTACTTCCTCTCCCAGTTCATTGAAACCAAAACCTGAGGATGAGACGTGGCAGGCTGGTCACAGATAGGGCTGGGGTTTCAAGTGCTCCCACATCCAAGGAACCTGGGAAAATGAGCAGATAAGCTGCTCACTATGAAAGCCCCATGAAAAGTCCTCAGAAACTGGGGTTCTGAGTAGCATCAGGCCTCCCACGGGCTTTCTGCATCAGGCAAACACCTGGAGGATAGCCCAGATGCCTCTTATGAGTTTAAAGGTAGTCTTGCTATATTTCCATGCCTGTAGAAGGAGAAAGAAAAGGGCTACCTTTGTCAGTTCATTCCCAGGCTCTTAAGTCATGGGGTTAGGGCTGCAGTACTGGGTAACAGTCATCTCCACAGGAGCAAAGATGAAAGTCAGACAAAATAATCCAAAGAAGTGCTTAACTGTGACTATTAAGTCCCAGAGGATTTATCAGAGGTTTACTTTCCTCTGACTTCTAGGAGAGACTTCGGCTGAAGTCCATTAAGCAAATTAAAAATCAGAAGGAAAATAAACACAGATTAATGGAGATAGGAATTTTATGAAGGAAAGGAAACAGCCTAGTCCTTCTGACAAAGCTCCTGGACTGTTATTCAGGTTTTAAGGCCCCCAGACCTTATAAATGGAAGAGATTATTCTCTTCAAGTTACCCTGCTGGTAGTCATAAAAGCAAGTTAATAGAATTTTTTTTCCCCCACTGAGAAGTCCTGTAGAAACCAGAGTAATAATATAATCCATAATGTTTCAGTTCAGTGCGTGACATGCAGCTATTTGTTCCTTTGTTTCCAAGCAGGGAATCAAGTCATAAATCTTGCGGCAACACAGATACTGCACTGGGTCTGTGGCATTTTATCTCCTACTGAAACTGAAACCCATCTGAGCAGCTTCCCACACAATTAGGGACTTGCATGTCGGAACAACTAGGCAGGATTTCTCTATTTGTTATTTTGGCATCATGATTAATATTTAATCCGCAGAAGATAGACAAGTTTGAAGCCTCATTCTGCTTGTTAAAAAATACTTTGAAACCAAGAAGATGAGAAAATTATGTCATTACGGAGCCCTGTTCTTTATTATCTTTAGATAGCTTAAATCAAAGCAAATGCTCCCACAAGAGGGAGGTTCTTCCCCCTCCTCATCTTCTAACTGATTTTCTGATTTCCATTTGTTTGAGTAGTGTTCATGGGCTAAAACAAAGAGATGCAGAAATGCTAAGGCAAGGCTGAGTAAATGCTGTGCTCTGCAGCTGTCCTGGTTCAGCTGTGCAGTAATAGGAGCTCATGGGTGGTTTTCCTGCGGTCAGCTGGACACCAAATCAGAGGCAAACACTGATCACTTTGGAGTATTGAAGAAAGCTGTTCCTGCCTTGTAATGGTCTAGAGGAAGATTGACATGTTCACATTTTTCTTTAGTGCCTTGATTGGAAAAGCCTCTTACAGTTTTTACAGCATTTAACATGCTACAAATATGTAATTTGTTGTTTGGAGCTGCCAACAAGTCCTTTGTGTGATAATTCTTGGTTTGGGCACAGACCTGCCTGAGTTTTGACTTCAGGGAGTTTTCACCAGTGCCTGGCTGGAGGCATTAGAAACTGCTATTACTTTCAGGGAGAAGGTGCTATTTATTTATCAGCACAAGTAACCTGCAGTGTGAGTTTAAAATGTAAAAAAGACATTCCTTCTAGGAGACTCATCTAACATGAAACAGGCCCAGAGGGGCTGTCCCTGAAAAGTGTGGCCAAGCTGCTGTGCAGAGCAACACGTTTTGCCTCCAGCTGTGCCCAAGGGATGCCGAGGGCCACCAGCCCAGCTCCTGGGGTACAGACAGGGCATGGGGGCAGGTGGTGTCATGTCACATCCTGGCCCACAGTGAGCGCACCAGGGATCCATGCAGCAACAGTTCTGGAAGGGCCATTTGTCACCCTGGGAGACTGGGTACCTGCCAGGGACATCTGCCCCAGCCCTGGCACTGAGCCCCGCTGCCCAGGTAATGCTTTCCTTTGCTATAAGTAAGTTTATTATTAAGCGTCCGTGCTGTTCCTGCCCAAAGAGGCTTGTTGGTGGGTGATCACCAGGACAGCAGAGAAGGTACTACCTGCCTGGGCTCCTTTCTGCAAACCTTTTTGCATGGCTAGGGCTTTAAGGCTAAGCAACACCAGCCACGCACGAGCCCTGGTCCTTAGCCACAACCTGCCAGGGAAATGGGCTTTTCCTTTGTTCCTGCTTCTGCAGTCACATAGAGCAGGATATCAAGCCTGCATTATATGGTGTAAGAAATTTCCAGGAGATGCTAAAGTTAAAGGAGTCCTCCCAGAACTTCTCCTTAAAGAGCCCATATGGAAGTCAGAGGCTATGTGTACAGATGAGTGATTTTCCTATGTTTGGAAAAGAATATGTGCTGATTTTGGTTTTGTTTGGTGTGCAAGCTTTGCTCAGTGACCATAGGAAAACTTGGGAATACACACAACATTTTCATAGCAAGGCATAGCAGCCCCTAAAATGTTCCCATAGCAGATTTCAGACTAGAGTGAATGAAATGCGAAATATGTGAAATATGGAAAAAAATAGAAAAGCAAATACTCGAAAGATAATGTGAGAGCTATAGTTTAAGGAAGGTAGTCAAGGGGCCAGAAAAATAGAAAGATACCTTAGAAACCCCTTAATGTCAAGTCTGGTTCCTGTCACATACAAGTAACTCCAATTTCACAAGGGGCTCTCTTCCTTTAAAAATATTCTCTAAAAGTCAAACATCAGAATTTCAGCACATTGCTCAAGTTTTCCTCCAGACCTGCAGGAAAGGCCCAAATCTGCGTTGTGCAGATCAGAACGGCATTTTGGGAGGACTGTCTTCAAAAGCACAAACCAGGAGAGAAGGAGGGTACACAGGGAAGAGGAAAGGAAGAAGGGAGGGATGGGAGAAATAACTGCAAGAATGGTTTTAATTCTGTTTGTTAAAGCCCAGATGTGAGGTCTTTCCTTGGGCAAACTCCCTGGACTTGTAGGATGTCTTGCTGTGAGTGCTGGGAACAATGCACAAGGCTGACGTGCAGGCTGGGGCCAGGGGCTGGTGAGCCTGGACGTTGCTCCAGCGCAGGAACGCGGTCCCTCCGCAGCACGGCTCATGTCCAGAGGCTGAACCAGTCATGCCGAGCACGATGCCTGAGCAGCGGCAGCACATACCCTGCTCTCAGCAGGTCCCCGCTGTCACCTTTCCCATTCCCACGAGATACGTGACTCCTCATCACTGCATAACTGCAAGAAAGCTGCAGTGTGACCGTGCCTAAAGCCTCTGTGTTTCCCTCTTCTGCACCAACAAAACCTGTTTGCCGCCGGGGCCGCCAGCAGAGCCGGTGCGTACGTGCGTGGAGGCATGCGGGGCGTGCGCCTCCGAGGCGGCGCGGGGTC